AGTAACCGAGGTTAGAAAAACAAACCAGGGCTCGGTGGCTTAGCGATCGCATCTTCATCTCTTAAGTCCAACGTTGCGGGCTCGTACCAGCTGGAGTCGAGTGTTCATTCGAGTGGAGACAGTGTCGTGTCTGCAAAGTGTTCTTCTTTCTTATCCCTATGGTCTAAATCAGACCGGATCCATGAGTTTGTTCACCCTTTAAAAATCTAAAACCAAAATAGGCCTCTTCAAACGGTCCTCTCGTACCAAGTCAGAGCAATCAAGAGAATATTGCGGTGTAGTCTTTGCGTCATTACACTTGGTGCAAATTGGAAAAGTCCTGGCACCAAGGGAGAATCTGATGGACTTTAAATGCCCCGTAGACAGTCGAACAAAAGTAGTTTGATCTCCTCTGTCACCTTTAAAACTGATTGACGCTCCAGACCATGAATGCGGTGGCAGTTGTTTTCGGGATATGTTTATGAAGGATTTAAATTTCGAGTATAGTTCAAGCTACGTCAGAAGTTCCTCACTGACCTGAATCATCGAAGTACCACCCTTTGCAAGATCATCATCAATGCTATTTTATTTCAAATTCACATGGGACGGAATCCACTGCAGATGAATCTCGGCAGAACCAATCAGGGTCCTGAGTTTATCAATATTATTATTATTATTTTGTCTGCCAAAATGCAGCTCATTTGAAAGAAAACGAAAGGTTTACTACCGTATTCGCCGAAAACTGAACCAGCAATCAAATGAAGAAAACCAGTGTTTTGCCAAAGTGCCTTTCACCATCTCATATTCATTTCCTAATCCTGGTCTGGGGTAGGAAATTTTGACCGGTCTCAAAGCTGGGTTAGATCTAACCGTTTTTGCGAAGTGAACGCAGTCTTGAGGACTATTTTGATTAACGAGGTTGCAAAATTGCAGTTGAGTAACCACGGGGTTAAAAAATAATTTTCGTAATAAATTTTTTTTTATGTACCATGTTTTTATAACCATTTTCATGCACTGTCGTCCTATTTTGAACAATAGTTCAAATTTCAAGTCTTTAGCACATCGGAAAGTTAGTTTAAAATCAATTACAAAATCCCCCCCCCTCCCGGACAGACATTCAAGCCTCTTCGGGGACCCGGGTTCAAGTCTAGAACTTCTTTTTTCACATTTTCACTCATTGTCATCTACTTCTGAGCTATGGCCTAAATTTCAAGTCTCTAGCTCATCGGGAAGTTAGTTTAAAACCAATTACAAAATTCCACCCGGACAGAAAAGTAAGCGAGTCAATAAAAATATGATAAAATCAAGGAGAAATATTTTTAACCGGCGGTTTGTTTTCACTTAACCTCAGTTATTTAACTCGCATGTTTCATAGTCCGGTCACGTAAACTGTAAATAGAACTGATAAACATGCAGATTTAATAAATTATAGTTTAAAAAAACTAAAAAACACCCTTTTATAGTTAATCGAACTAAGTTGTAACTTAATCTTTTAGTCACCAAATCTGGAAATGGGATCTTAAATGAGTCGCCAGATGCGGGATGGATCTAAAAATGGGAAATCGCTAATCCTGATAATCTTGATCAGGGCAATGGAACAAAATTATTAAATTATTACATTATCATCGGTCCTGGACAAGTGATCAAAATTTCGAATTAATCTAACTTTTTAAAGTGGGTAAAAATTGAGTTCAAAGTTTCCGTTACATACAAGTAAAGCTTAAAAAAGGGATCTTTTCGCACCTCTTAAAGTACTTTTTGACCCTTTCTTATGAAGAGAGCACTTTAGAAAACACGGGAATGCGTATATAATACACATGCCTTCCGTCTTTACTCTATGGTTCAGTGGAGGAGCCCTGTCAAGGCATAATTAAATATGACAAATTTTTAAGCGGCGAGATGAAAGAAATCTCGCAATTAAACCTTAGAAAATTGTCAGATCATTTTAAAGTATCTTTCGACTCCCAAATAACTTTTTCAAGGCTCATAAATATAAAGGATATTTATCAAGTTCTTGTTTTAGAAACGCGTGTGTGAAGACTTGGTGCAAACTGCCTTCATTACGGTTTCCTGGTTCGGTAAAGTAAATTTGCCAAAATGTGAACCTCAGTTGATAAACACTGAGCAGTTTCTTAGAAACGTTGTTTGAGAACGTGCCAAGAGCAAGTGGAAAAGTGAAGCGCTGGAAGATTCTAAATAAGCTTGGTAAAAAGAAGGAAAAGGATTACTTAATGTGTTAAATTGAATAGAATTTCTGTCTGGAATTGTGTGTGTTGCTGTGTTATAAAAAAAATTAAAATTTTGAAATAAAAATGGGAGTTTCATTATTAAGTTGTGAAAAGAGAGAGGATTCAGTGTTTTTTTCTACTTCAGCATTAACAATGTTTCTGTAACAAAAGTCATTCAAAATTTTATTATTGAAAGGATCTTAAGATGCTTAAGTTTTTAGAGGAAAAGGATTTTAAAATGTGAACACTATAATAATAATAGATAATAGTTACAGTTACAGTTTTTGTGGAATATGGAGCAACAAAGGCCCCAAAATAGATAAAACTGACAAATGAACTACAGCATGTTTGATTGTGTTTTGGTAATGTATCTATTAAGTACGAATATTTAATATTTTTTCACATATAGTATAGTAATTAAAACACACGGGCATGCTTACACTAAAAAAATCCTAAGAAAGACAACACGGGGGGGGGGGGGGAGTAATTTTTTTCGATTTAACTCATGTCAATGAATAAGATATTTCATGCTCACGAAATTTGGAAAAAGAATTTAAAAAATGAATGTTGTAACTCTTTATTGTTTTTGCCATCAACATTGCTTGTTTAGAACACTTCAGTAAAACTTAAGAATTCGTGACATGTGGCTTGTGTTAACCAGCACAGAAATACAATATGTTTTCTCTTCCTTTCATAATGACAATATTGACAAGGTTCCTTTCAAGATGTCTGGTCTGGCCGAACTTTTTAAACTGTTTTCTGGGCAGCACGTGTGCAGAGGAGTCGCAAACAGCTGTGACATCGGGAAATACCTCTTGGATCTTACTTTCCCTAGCTCGTATTTCACATGCCACTAATCAAATGCGTTTGATCATTTTTAATATATACGTGGTTTTTTTAAAGTATTCTGTGTAACGAAATATTTGTCGCTTTTACACTATTAGATTCTTAATTTTTATTGTTCGTAGAGTATCATTTAAGTAAAATTTCAGAAATCTTAGGATCATCACAATTGCATGAAGAAAAAGAATTTTGTATACACTCACTTCCAAAAGTTAAGAACGAAGATGTAAAATGCAAAAAAAATCAACAAATGCTGCTTTGATTGACACAAAATTTGGCAGTAAAGTAGCATATATATTTATACATAAAAAAAATCAATAATTATATACAGAAAGGAAAACAATATTGAATTTTTGTAAGGTATCAGATAATGTCATACAGGTGACTTAAACAGAATTATGTATAAAGTGAAAATAAACAGCATAAAATGAAAAAAATGGCATTAATAGGGTATGTGATCCCCCTCCCCTCATCTGTATGCAAAGTTTACACCTTCTGACCATGCTTTCAATTAGGTGGTCAAACACCGCAGAATTAAGCAATCGTCATTCTTCTTGTACAGCAGTTTCCAGCTCAATAAGAGTGGCTGGAGGTGGGAAACGTGAAGATACAGCACGGCCGAGAGCATCCCAAAGATTTTCAATGGGATTAAGGTAGGGCGAATATGCTGGTCACGCCATACGCGCAACCCCTTCACTCTCCAGGTAGTCATCGACGATGTCAGCTCCATGGAGACGTGCGTTATCGTCCATTAAAACAATAGTAGGGCCAACTGCTGCAGCGTACAATCTCGCAATGGGTTCTAGGACTTCATCTCGATACCGGACAGCCGTCACAGAACTCCGTTTAATGTTGTGCAGGTCGGTGCGGTATCCTAATGAAATCCCTGCCCACACCATAATGCTTCCGCCTCGGAATGCGTGATGTTCGGTGATGTTTTGGGGCTGATTGCGTGTTCCTTGTTTACGCCATATCCTTATACGCTTGTCACCTGGCTCCAGAGCAAATCTTGACTCATCAGTAAACATGACATTGCCCTAGTCAGACGCAGTCCAATTGCCATGTTCCCGGCACCACTTTAATCGTGCCCCTCTTGATTGGACGGATAGAGGAACACAAACTCGAGCTACCCGGGCATACAGTCCATTCATATGTAATCTTCGGCGTACAGTAGCTGCAGATATAGCCTTACCAATGGACGCTGTAACCATAAATGTCACACGTGTGGAGGTGGCTCTGCGATTCCGCTTGGCTACAATAGCAATATATCGATCTTCCGCGGGGTTTGTAACCCTTTAGCGACCACCTACGGGTCTTCGGACAACTGTCTGTGTGGTTTGGAATTGTTTCCATAAACATGAAATTACAGAATGATGAACTCCGAAGATAAGAGCAACATCTGTGATTGACTGTCCTGCTTCAATGCGCCCCACAGCATACCAGCGCTCAGAATCTTCCGTTCGTTTTCTGGAAACACGTATGTCTTGAAAACAAATTGTACGCAAGTTTTAAACACCTTCTATCAGCACTTACAAATCAACCCTTCATAAAGCTGGCTTCTTAAAGACTGTCCTTTTTGTATATTTCTTGACATGAAAGCACGATTGGCTGTTACCTAACATATTTGCATACTTCCATTTACATCTGCAGCGAATTGCATCCTCTTCAATTCTGATTGGCTTCCGGAAATTAGCATTTTCCTCTCCGTGCTTAACTTCTGGAAGTGAGTGTATACATACATATTGGTTCAAATTGTCAATCGTTAATAAAATACTTTTTATGCATCCGCTCAAGTTGAAATGCATTTTTTAAAATTAATAGTGGATGACACTTGATGTTAATACAGTTTTTCCAAATATTAATTGATTAATTAAATTTAATTATGAATAAATAGTAAGAAACAAAAATAATAGTCCAACGCCTTATATAAAATGGAAAATTGCTCGTTGTGTCCCGGTAGCGCAATGAATAGCGCGTTGGACTTCGAATCCGAAGGTCGTGGGTTCGAATCCCACCCTGGATTGCCTAATTTCTGACAATATTATTTCTTTTTACTCTACTATTTTATTGGAATAATTAAATTTAAGAAATGAATAAATAGTAGCAAACAAAAATAATTGTCTAATACCATATGTATAGAAAGGTAAATGGAAAATCGCTTTCTATTTTGCCACTTAATATTGTGATTCTGTTACATGTAGATACAAATATTAGTAATTGTAATTATTTAATAAAAAATTCTTAAAATAAATTTTCCCTTTGTTGACCTAAGTAGGAATTGACTTAAATTTTTTTTTGTATTACTTGTTTTCTAAAATAGTTTTATATTTTTATTTAGCTTTTGTTTGTGTGTACTTTAGGGGAAGAAAGGGACTTGTTTTTTATTTATGTTAGGGTCACAATATGTCACTTTAATTTTCATGTGATGCGATATGTATTATGATTATTAAGTTCTTCTAAACGTTGTTTTTATCGAATAGTATTAAAAGTATTAACAGTTCAGCTATACCTGTTTTTTTCTTGTTGAATGAGTGAGTGAGAATTATATTTACGCCGCACTATAAAGCTGCAGGATAAGGCTATTATTTCTTGTTGATCTGCGGAACGAAAACCTTGTATTTTTTTCTAATGCTGTGATGTAATTTACCTTTTCATTTAAAAATGTTTTTAAAACTCATATTGGCAATTATTTTACTTTCTTCTGCAGCAACAGATGTTATAAATTATATCCAAAGTAATCCATTTATTATTTTTGTTTTAGATTAAAAAAAAGAATGGAATTTTTTGAAAAGTTTAAAAGTATAATTTTTTTTTATATTTCACGTACTATTTCTTTTTCACTGTATACCGGTTTGAAATATCTGCTTAATCTTGAAATAGAGGACTTGCACAGGACTTGAAATATGAATTTTATATTCAAAAGTATTATTTTTTATTTCAAAATAGTTTTCCCTTTTCTTTCTTTCCGCAAAAGAAATGGGAAAATAGTTTGAAAATATCCGAATTACTATGCTAATTTCAATTGAAAAAAGTACGTATATTTTTCAAAATTTTTTAATATGCTCAAGAAACGGAATTGACCATAATTTGTATGAATTTGGCAAAAAATTAGAAGATAATGAATATTTCATTTTTTTACTGCATACATATGGATACATTAATAGTAGTTTCTTTGTTAATGAAGTGATTCAATTGCGCTCTCCCTGACACAACCGATGTAAAGAGTCACTCGGAAACAGCATTAAATTTAGGACAATGTCATTTTTTTATATCACATTATTTGTTGAATCGTGACTGGATTTCAGTTTAATATGTACTTGAAACAAAGTTCTGGCACAAAATGACTTTAAAGATTTAAATTTGTTCCATTTTTTTTCTTTTGCAGCCAAAGTCACACACACTACAAATTTTTTTTTTTTTTTAAATCTGTTTTTAATATTTTATTTCGCGAAAATTTCACCAGAAAATTTTATGACTACCAATATTTTTAATATTGTGGAAAAAAAAACCTATCTTAGTTATAAATTACTGAAGTCCTGCTAAAAGATAGATATCTAGCCGTGGTTCTATTCCGCGGATTAAGTGTTTTAAGAGTGAGTGAGTGAGAATATTAACGTCGCACTGCTCAGCTACTCGAGGGCTTTTGGCAATGGACCTCGTCATTTTGAGCCATGGTCAAATGACGAGGACGACACCTGAACTGGAACTCCTCTCTCCTAACTACCACACCACGCCAACTTGAGGACGTTTGAGCTCTCGACAGATTTAACGTGCATCGCACCCCTACACGGCGGGTCTTCATCAGCACTAGGTTCAAACTCATGACACGCCAGCCACGAGTCCGTTACCTTGACCACTAGGCTACCGCGGCTATACGTCATACTTAGAAACTACACACGAGGACTTCACTAAACGCCCCGATAGCCTTGGTGGTTTCGATCATGAACTCGTGGCTGGTATGTCATGAGTTTGAGCCACAGTCCCACTAAAGACCCGCTGTGCTGAGGGTTGATTCACATCAAATCTTTCAAGGCTCAAATTTCTCCCGTTTGCGTGAAGTGAAAGTGCGGAGAGGGAGTTCCAGCTCAGGTGACATCCTCGTCACTTGAGTGTGATTCAAAATCATGAAGTGTATCGGCAATAGCCCTCGTGTTGGTTTATAGTGCGATGTTAATATTTTATTCACTCACCCAACAGCCCTTTTGTTGCTTCCAAATGCAAAGTTAAAAAGGAATCAATTCAATACAAACCATTAATACACCTGCAACTTTACGGCTGAATGTTTTGCATTGTTTTTTCAGCATTTTTAAAAATTCATTATATTTTCTTCATTGTGCATTGTCTAATCTCGCGTTTGATAAATTGGTTTTTGTCAAATATCATTGCTTTTAGGATTATTCTTAAAAAAAGTAATAGAATTAAAAATAAAGAAAAAACAACAACAAAAAATAACTTTTTTCTCTACATTGCATAGTTTAAATTAATTTTTGAATTAATTACTTCCTGTGATTTATTTTTTAGACGTCTGCTGCAACTGTATTTAGCTTTCCCTTTTTTATCACGTGATTCGCATTATTTACTACTTTATCATCCTTACCAAATCGCTAATTTTATTAGAATTCCAGCCAATTATGAGTTAAATTTAAAAATATGAAATTTAAATCTAGACTAATTGTACTAAAATATCTATAAAAACCAGTAAAGAAAAAAAAAAGAACGAGACAGGAAATTTCATTTTGCACTGGTATGTGCGTGTGTGATGGGTTAAGGAAACTATTCGAGGTACCTTTTATGCTTTGAATAGTTTCCTTATTGCGAATAGAGCGATCCTTGAACATAATACAACTCTGTCTAATCTATTTGTTATTACAGCCCAGGTATTTATACACGATAATTGCCTTGTATTTCAGTTATTATGCCCAAAATAAGACATTCCTTCATTAAGTATAATGGGGATATTTAAAAAAAGTCTCTCACCTGTACACTGCGCACGAGAGTATTTATTTCTAACATTAAGTGCGTTAATGAGAAAGGAAGGGTGTGTATTTGTTGTTAAAATAATATTCACACTATACTTAATGCAAGTTAACGTGATGATTCTAAACATAGACAACTTTGCTGTTTTTCTAGCGAAAAATAGAAACTTTGTGTGTGTGTGTAAGTCGTTAATAAAAATTCTAGTAAATACACACACACACAAATAGGCTTAAAAAGATATAAAAACATACCGGAAATATATAAAGAGCCCATATTTATTTATTTCCAGTTTGAGAAAACACTCGGTTTTCGTCTACGAAATTGGCCTGAGTGTGTGTTCATTTACTCTGCACCATAAAGCAACACCTTGGCGAAAGACCTAGTAAATTTGAGCCACGGCCAAATTACAAGGATGACACCTGAGCTGACACACCCTCTCCACGCTACCTTTCCACGCCAATAGGAGTACTTGGACCCGCGAAGGATCTCTCTACACGGCAGGTCTTCAGTAGAGATTAGCCGGCCTCGAGTTCGTGACTATGACCACGAGGCTAACACGGCTACCCAACATTTGTGCGAACCAAATGATTTGCGTAATAATCTCTTTGAAACGATTTATCGCCAAAAAGACATTGCATACTAGAGATTAATCGCCAAATATTTTTCGAATTATGGTAACCTATTCGATACCATTCTGGAATTCACTAAAGGCCGCCAATTTTGCTTTGATTATTAACATCGCACTCCAAAGCAATGAGGTGGCCGCGGTAGCCAAGTGGTCAAGGTATCGGATCATGACTAGCGTGCCGTGAGTTCGAGCCCAGTACCACTGAAGACCCGCCGTGTAGGGGAGCCATGCACGTTAAATCTGTCGAGAACTCAAACGTCCTCTCGTTGGTGTGGGGTGCCAGCTCAGGTGTCGTCTGCGTCACTTGACCATGGTTCAAAATTACGCGGTCCGTCGTCAAAAGCCCTCGTGTAGCTGAACAGTGCGACGTTAATATTCACTCACTCACTTACCCAAAGCAATGAGAGTGGAATCGGCGACGAACTTCGCGTAATTTTGAACTTTAGTTGAATGATGAAGATAACACCTGGATTGGTACCCAACGCATCAAACCTGCACACCACATCAACGAAAGGATTTTGAATCTCGACAGATTTTATGTGCATCAGTATCTGGACACTTCAGTCTTTAATGGTAGTACGATTCGAACCGACGACTCGAGAACAATGACCACGAGTTTGCGACTTTGACAACCCGGTTAACCTGACCATCCAAAGGTCCTCCAAAGCCATGAGATTGTCTTATTTTAGCGTGTTTTGTACACAGTTAATTTTTTGATGTCTGTATTCATTCTAAAATAGCTTAGCGAAGAAGAAGCTTTTCCTGCTCTTTGAATATCAACTAGTGCCCTGTGTGCCTTTTGATTGTTTTGGTTAATTGATTTCAAAATGATTAAAATGTTTTCGTTGTTTTTATATAGAAATGATTTTCCTTTTGTTTGTTGCTTAAATAAAAAATTTTGTTCAACATGGTTCCCTATTAATAAAAATCGTGCCCTTTCTTGGATAAAAAATGCTTACTTTCCTCGTCTTTCTCGATCTGCTCTTTTAAAGATTTAAAATTACCCCTGTAATACAATAGTATTGTGGCTATCTATTTAAATTTTTAACCATTGTTTATATATAAAGATAAAATTTAAAAAAATATATCATAATATTACATTTTTTTTGCTATAATAAACTTTATTCAGCATGATGCATTTTTAAAGAGGATAATAAATTAGCCATCAGTATTAAGATACTGGATTAGTATAACAGAATGCATCTCTTATTTTTTATTATGAGTTGCAAAACATTTCTATGTTATTTCTATTTTAAATTAATCATTACTTTTAGACATGGTATTACTGGTTGTCATAAAAAAATTGACCTTGACATGTATAATTGATTATTTACAAAGGAGAGCTGAAAAATTTGTATCCATATGTAAATATTGAACCTTTATTAAACTGTTGTTGCTTAGACCACAGAATCAGGTAG